GCAGGACACAAGGCCTTCATAAAAAGGGAGAGCTTGCACCCAATGCTTCAGACCTCATCCCTGCAGCAAACAGCCCTTGGTTTGCTGGAAGGTACCTTGGAGAAAAGGACCTAGTAATTGAATGTGATGGGTATCTCTAGATGCAAGGAAGGAGCAATACAGTACAGTAATATATTTTGAAAGAAGCAATAATTAATTTCAAATGTATCCTGGTTGAACCATTTCATACTGTTTATAATGACTGGAACTGTCAACCATAGCTCAACTCTTCCTTGAACTTTCTGCAAATAATGGATTTGAGCTTTTTCCCATTTTTTCTCATCAAGCTCAATCCCACAAGGCCTTTTTAGAAGACACAACTGTGCATGTGATTGTCCACACCCAGACACCTGCCATCCCGGTGGTGTTGGCCAGCTCCATCTGGGATTGACAGCTTTGCAGGAAACTCATTAAAAACAAAACCCAAAAAATCCCCCTCCAAAAATCTTCCCCATGTATCGTAACTGATGGACTGTGATATTTTTGTTTTACCTGTGAAGCTACTGCTCATTTCAGGTACATCATCCTCTTCCTCATTCTCTGTATGCACTATGCCAGCATTTTGCATATCATTGTAAGACTTGGTTCGCTTTGGAGTCGACTGCTTGGAGCCAGACTGCAGATTTTGCAAAGCATCGGTGGAAGTCACTTTCCCACTGAGGGGCTGGCTGGGAGGCTTGGGCGTTCCATAATAGTTACCTAGGCAATAGAAACACATTTGCATCTTCAAAAGAGAGCAGTTTGTAGCAGCAAGATTTCTATTTTATTTTCTTTTCAGTTCCATTAAAATCTCTGTCTCTCCCCACAAGTAAGTAAGTAAATAAACTAACACACACAATTCCCATGGGGGGCATATTTCATCTCTAGAGCAGACACAGAAATATTTCTTGCCTTTTAAGTTATTCTTGTTGAATCTAAAAGGAGAAGCAATGGTTGCATTGTTTAGGTGCACTGAGCGTACAAGGGCTAAAACAAAAGGCAGTCACGGTGAATAGCAAAACTTCATCTCGTTACATCTGAATTTCAATTAGTAGCCTTTTTACATGTGTGCACCCACACAATGCTGTGGCAGATCTGGAGTGAGCCCTGCAGAAAATAAAAAATTCATGACTGCCATCACCCAGATAAGTGATGAAAGGCTCGATGGCCTGCTTTAATACACAGGTTCTTTTAGGGTGGATGTTGCATTTGAAAAGCAAAAACTATTCTCTCTCTAAAAGAAAACTTTGTCAAAGGAGAGAAAAGGAAAGGTACCACGTGGCACTGCTTTCTTCAAAGAGGAAACTCAGCAGTTGGGTCAACTTGGGTAAAAGTGAGCAACCAGACCTTAAAGCAAAACTTGAAGGGCCAAAGACGCACCCACAGTTACACAAATGCACAGCTCTTGGCAGCCATCACCAGATGTGATGCAAACAGTGCAAAGTGCTTGGGATACTTTGCCGCCATTTTAAGTGACCATGGAAGAAATACAGAATAAGTGCAGGTTTATCGATACCAGAACTGCACAGAGGTATTTCCCTGTTCCTGTTTCGCTTCACCTCAAACACCACAGTAGTGCTTGACTTGCCTGAAACGCTCCACAGGAATCTCAGGTCTGGAATCGGTTTCTGCAGCACTGGGCATTATAGGAGTTCAGGCCTATTGCAAGGTGCATCTTTTACTGTTTATGCAATGATCTGTGGTATACAACAGTTTTATATAAAACTCCCCAAATTTTCCCTTTCAAGAATTACTATTAATTTTCATTTGTCACCTTCGGATTCCAAGGGTGAACGTAAAAATTCTCCCCATACTCTCCGGCATGACAAAATATAAAGGATGCTCTCCTGTATAGCTTTGTATAAACTCACGTGGGGGTGCTTGCATATAGCTTCAACTGTGGCAGCCGCACAAAATTCTCCTCTAAAATATACATGCACATTTGATTACAATTCTTCATCTATCTCCCTGGCTATGTATAACCTGAAAGCATTTTTCAATTTTTCTGTACATAATTACATTATATATTTAATATCCATTCCCCAGAAAGTGTACGTGCCCCTTTATTACCCCTGTTACACTAGATGGAAACCACATGCCAAAGGCAGATTGTGCAAAGGCACTTTAAAACCACATCTGTGCTAAAAAAGATTTTTTTTTCATTTATTTTTATACACATGTATGTGTATTTTTGTTGCAGAAGTCAACAACATCATTCATACACTGAGCTATGACACTGAGTTTAAAGTTAGCCAAGCAGCTCTGCATTGACCTGCCCCACTGCTGTATGCAGTAGGGCCACTCAACCAATGCATTTCATACTGCTCACCCATCACATACCTGAGGTTCAAAACAACATATCCTTATTTCAGTTTGGAAGTGCTAGTTGTTTATCTCAACTCCTGTTTAACTGACTGAATTGCCTTTCCTGTTAGATCATCTAAGTCCCTTACAACCCTGAAGCTCTGCATGTTGTCAGCTTTAAGGTAAGGCCACAGGGATCATGCATGCTCCAGCACTCCTAGATCTCCACCTGAGACTCTGGAAGGTCTCCGGACATATCAGCAGCAAGGGAGACCAGGAATCACCCTGGCTCAGGCTGGCAGAGTCCATTTGGGAAGACCGATTCGGACATATGTTGCTATCTTTCCCACTCACTGCCTTCCAAGAGGAGAAAAAGTCTTTCTTACAGAGCTGAGGCTGGAGAAGTCAGAGGAGCTCCTATCTCCACACTTTTACAGCCGGAGTACTAGGACAGCAACACGTGCAGGTTTGTCTTAACAAGGTGTGTTCGAGCCTGTGTACAATGTCGCGGATTCAGCTCCGTAGGAGCAGCAACACTCCGCAATGCTTTCATCTTCTGTTCATCATTTCAGAATCTTAAATGTACATTGATGCATAATTTATAGGGAGAAGGAAATTACTTCTTCTGGAAGAGCCTCTAATGGGGATGGAGGCTCCTCAAGCAGGTTGCAGTCGCTGCTAGAGAAATGATTCTTATGCTCTATATACTGCAGGACTATTTTATACAAAAAGAGGAGGAATGGGGGAGAGACAGTGCAAAGGGAAAATACAAAGGTAGGTGGGCAGAAAAAGGATAATCAACCCTGCTCTTATCCTATCCTCTTCAGCATTTCTCCCGAAGACTGCTGCTACTTTGGGGTTTGGGTTTTTTTGGGGTTTTGTTTTGTTTTTCCAGACAAAATGTTTTCTAAGGATGTTAACTGCTAAGCAGAGAGATCCACATGCGTGCCATGTACGTGAGAACAGCTTTTATTTATGGCACTGCACATCACTATTTTGTGCAAAATTTATTTCAGGTCTGCTGTAAATGGTTAAATCTTTTTGCGATGGATGCAACTAAGTGAATGAGGGGGATATATAGATGTAGCTAGTGTGGGTTTTTACTCCTCCTGGACAAGAACATAGCACAGATGTTACCACCCCTTGTCCAATTACAGAGAAATACATGATTATATCTCTGAGTTTTGTTCCTTTTCAGTTCCTCTAGCAACAAGCAAGGCTGGAGCTCTTAACAGTCCACAGAGAGCTGTTCCTCAGCAGAAAAGCAGGCTTCTCTAAAGTATTTCAAATTTGCTTACACCGAAATCATTAGTCACTTTTCAAAACAACCATGGTTGTTGGTACTATTATTAGCAAGTAATTATTTTGTACCAACACAGCGTGCTGTCTTAGAGGATCCCTACAAGTATGTATGAACACATATGAAGAGCAAATATGAATTTGAAACTGAGCATGGCTCTGCATGTTTGAGTTTTGTTTTGCAGAATATGGGAAATGCAGCCATTGAGGCTGAACTTTTCCTCCACAGGAGGCAGATGCAGCCTGAGTCAATATTCCAAAAAATCACACTTCTTCCTTCAGATTCACACAAGGACACACAGGTTTGGGAAACCCAGCTCATGCTGAAAAACTGCAGAAGAAAGCTCCAACCCAGCTTCCAGGTGCCATGGAGAACGAGAGAAAATGGAAAGACTCTCTTTTCCTCATGTTTGCTGGATGCAGTCAGACTTATTTCTCTTCTCTAAGTAGTTCTTTTTGAAGACATGGCACGTGGGCCCGGGCGTGGGGGCAGACACACCATTAGGAGGGACTAGCACTTAAAATTATCATTGGAACTCATGTTTAATCCTAGAAATTAGAAAGAGAAAATATTTACCCTGTGACTCAGAAATCCAAACGTGCACCATTAACAACTGACAGTGAACAGCCCAGCAAGAGTTTTAATACACTGAGACTCGACATTATTTGTTCAAATTAAATCTGTCAATGTTTATGAAAAAACATACATTTAAAAATATGCTTTAACAGTGTTTTGTGAGCCACTTGTAAGCCTAAAGAAGGGGCTAACTTCATAGCCAGTGTAATTTGTACTGAATATCCAATCAGCCCTAATTATTAACAGCATGTTACATGTGCATACACAAGCATCTGTCATCCCAGAGGATCCCAAAACATTTTCTAAAGGCGGCACAGTAGTTATGGCAGGACTCCCCGGGGTGCAGAGCTCCCCCGACGGCTCAAGTGAAGCTCTGTAAAACTTCTGAGGACTCTGTCCCTAACGTGACGTCTCAAAGCTGGAGAAGAGCAGCCCATCTCCCAGACAAAGAAGATTTCTTGATGAAGACAGCAGGAAAACCTCTACTTTTCTGTGGAAATGCCAGTTTTGAAGCAGCCAGCGTGGCAGAAATGGCACTTTCCCATGTCTGATTCCTAGGGGAACCGAGCTCCTAAACTTTACTCTCTTCTCAATCACACTTGGATCCTGCCTACAGCAACCAAATTAATAGCTAATAACAAGGCATTCACTCAGCAGATGCACATGCCATTAACTGAATTCCTTGTCATCACCTTTCACTAACCCTTATTTTATTCAGTCCCTTGGTGCTTAAAGCTCATTTAACCACAACCGAAGTTTGATGGCAGCTTTTACAGCCAAAACCATGACTGAATCCATGCACTCTAAAGCGCCACTCAGGAGAGTGCACAAAAATAACAATAATAATGAAAAAAAACCAGAATAGCTATTTGGAATGAGTTGATTTCTTTTCATCTCCTTATCTCTAAGTGTCAGCAGCTTACACATTTTAGCATCACGCACAGTAATTAGTCTTTGGTAACAGCTAATCACAACAGTAAGACAAGTTCTCATCATCATAACACTTCTTCCTCTGCCAATTCAAACAGTGATCATAATCAATAAAAGCAATCTACAGCAGCTTCTATCCTGTTCTGCAGCTTACGAATCAAAGCAACGCTGTCAGCCAAGAGAACCTTCTTTTTACATTTTAGAAACCTAGTGGTAACGGAAAACTTTTCTTATATTTCAAAATAACAAAACATTCTTATTAAATATTCCCCTGATGGGCAATAAATTCACAGACAACCTTAAGTTTTTTATGTGACCTGAAATTTGAAATGTAATTCACAAAAACACACCAATTAGCTACCCTTAAGTAAAATAACTATGAAACTAATCCATAAAAACTTCTGTCAATCACCATTCAATTCAATTCGAATTGAAAGGGCTCTGTCCATCCAAGATGCTGTTTCTGGAACGGGTAGAAATGCACAAGAACAGGGATGCAATTTAAAAGGGTCTAAAGTGGAATGGATATGAAAGTAGGTGTTTCACCATGCAGAGAGGGAAGATGAGACCATGGAGGCTGCTGGGGTGGGAGAGGACAGCAGAGCTGATA